TGAAGATGTCTAATACCTATTAATTAGTTATATTGAGTGTTGTTATTAAGGTACTTCTTTAATCCTTTATATGAAGCATTCAAGAAGAAAATACATGATCTACTTAATCCGTAAATATCCTTAAAACTAATCATTTGATTAATTTGACATTTTTAGGTGAAAATGGTACTTCGGTTTCTTAACCCGGTGATGTGCTTATCCTGGTAGTGAAAGGTGTACAAAAACTGAATAACCCGTCCGTCTCCACTAATTTATAGTCAAAGTTTCAGATAAGTAATTGAGTCAATCTAATCAACCTTCTTAGTTCTTATGATGCAGGAGTTCTTAGTAATACTTGCATCTCTGTGTAACAACGATCAGAGGCTGACCTCTAATTCACTGTTAAAAATTCACTTGTAAGTTGTTATTTTATTGAACTTAAGGCAATCTCTAATGTATACATTGATGGGTCCTCTTGTATACATATACATTGATGAATCCTTTCATTTGCATTTCATATTTGGAATTTGCAGTGAAGGTGCTTCTAGCTTAAAAAACATGGGAGATGGAATTTTAGATAAAAGGTCAAGAATCAAAGCAAAAAACAAACTTGTGGAAGAACAGTAAAATATTTGCAGGGTACGTAGGTCTTTAAAATTCTTGGTTTCAGTGGTTTCAAATTATATAGTATATTGTAAGCTTTTATTTTGTGTTTACATATCAGAAACAACTATATAATGTCTCTATAACTTGGAGTATCTTAAAAAACTCCAAAAGTGATCAAACCTCAATTTACATAAGGTGTGTTTTAGGTCCGTCGAAGGCTATTCTCCGGATCTGAGAATTTGTTTTTTTCTTACTCATCTGGAGACAAGATCCACGATAAGAATATACTCCAGTAAGCAAACACTGTTAGGCTTATTTTCTTTTTCACGGATCGAACTGTAGCTTTTCTTTCCGCTTTGTTTCTACTGCAGTCTGATCTATTCGAGTCCCATGTTAGAATATAGTATTTGTTCACGCAAAGTGAGAAATCGCTTGTAAATTTTGTGGTATTATCTTGATTCTGGAAACTAATTTTCCAAGGCCTTTTGATTTATCTGTGTGCTCTCTTCTAACTTAGGTGTCTGTATGTTCCAAACTGTGGTGGTGACAGTGAGGTCATTTCTGACATTCCTGTAAGAAGGTTGTGCGATTATGGAGAAAAGCATCAAAAACGCAATTCCTCTAGGATTCAATACAGGTAATACCCGTTGTAAAATCATTCTTGATTGTTCAGGCCAATCTTCAGAACTTATCATATACTCATCTTTTTTTTATTAATCGTATCTTTTTGGGTGAATTTCAGTTCAAAGGAGACTGAATTGCAGATACTCCACCCGGTGATGGTTATGGCAAGAAAGATGTATCAACAGTGAATAGATAGTTACCATTTGCTTACAATTAAAGTTACATATACCAAACTGAATAAGGTATTGATGTTTAAACTTACTTGTTTTATATCTATATACTATCAGGCCAATCGAACTAAACGAAAAAGGAATTGTGTTTGTACCAATTGGGCATTGCTTGAAAAACCTGTATGTCTGAGTAACACATGTTATACGTCTCTGCATACCAGTTTGTAGGTTGTCGTTATATTCATCAATCTTTAATCCACATGACAATTCATTTTTCATAATCTAGATATTGATGGGTTCTCTTATCTGCCATGATGTTACACTACTTCATATTTATCCATATAGAAATAAATGAATTCTTCTATGCTGCTTTTGGAATGTATAGCTCTGGAAACAAGACAACTAAAGTTATAGAGAACCGGAGAAATAATACAAACTTGTGGAAGATCATCAAAAACCTTGCAAGGTAGTTCAAGAAAAATGATTCTTGGTTTCAAAATTATATAATATATTCAAAGCGCGTAGTTTTGCTTATCTCAGGTCCATCAGAGTGGAGTTCTAAAATGACTGAGAGTCACCTCTAAAGTGTCATCTTCTTGTTTCTGATGTTTAATCCTCATTCTCTTTATTCTGCTTAGTTGTTGACTTTTCTCTTATAGTTTGAAATTATATTCTTTGTTTTCTTTGTTCTTTCCATGAAGTAGCAGATTTCCTAGTCTATGTGAATATGTGAACCAATCTCAGAAAAAGAGAGGTTCGTACATGAATTAGTAACCAAAGGGCTGTGTGTGCTTTTATTCGTCTTCATAACTTGGAGTTGCTTTGAAAACTCAAAACATGATCAGACTTCAATTTACTTATGATGCGTCTTAGGTTTGTCGAAGGTTATTATTGGATCTGGAGACAAGATCCAATACGAGAATATGCAACAGTTGTGGTGGCAGTGATGAGAACTAAACAACACCATTTGCCTTATCTTCACTTTTCACAGGTCCTAATATTTGCTATTCTCTAATTTCTATCTGATTTCTTTCGAGTCCCATGTTAGATTTTAGTTAGAGTGAACCACATTTCTATCATTATATACACTGCAAATGTGAGAAATCATTTGAAATATTTGTGGGTTTCTTTTTTTAAATTGTGAAGATTAATGATTATGTGTGTGTTCTCCATCCTAGGTATATGTCCAAACTACGGTGGTCATTTCTGAAAATTTCCGTAAGAATGATGTGTGCGTATAAAGAAAACCATCAAAGTTAAAGTTCCTTAAAGGTATCATCTGTTGTAAACCAATCATTTTTTCAAGTTCCGAACTTGTGATTTTGATTCTTTGTTACGATTCACGATTCTGATATATTGGTACGTGTTTGTGCTTCTATAAGTGCACTAAGGAGATCTGTACGTATCTTTGTTGTCGAAAATGTCCACATAATTCAAAGAGATTGCTTTAAACCTTTATTGGGAGTAATTTATTTAGGTAATTTTAGTTGTTTGTATGAGAGACATTCGACAAGTACTTGTTCTACAAAAGCCCACAACCGTATAACTAATCATGCATCTTGTGTATTAATCTTACATTTTTAGGTGAAAGAGACACTAAATATTCCAGCCGGTGAAGTGTGGTGGCCATTTGTTTACAATCAAAGTTACAGATACCAAATCGAATAAGGTACATTTGCTGTTTATACTTGTCCTGAATCTATATACAGTAGTAAATTGATAAAAGGATTTTGTTTGTGCATGCGTTGTAATTATTCATTTTTCTAGCCTATAAACAACGCGAGAGAGTGTGAATGGCTGGAGGAACTTGCCTCTGCATACCACTTTGCAGGTTGTTTTATTCATCTCAAGGCAATCTTTTTTATTCATACGACAATTTGTTTTTCATATGATCTCAATATTGATAGGCCTTCTTATCACTGCGATGATGTTAAACATATCCACATGGAGCTTTTGATGAATCCCTTAATTTCGATGCCGCTTAAAGCACCCCCGTCTTTAGCTCTGAAAGCATGAAGGCTGAAGTTACAGAGAAAAACCAAGAACCGGAGCAAGAAATTATATTGTGGAATGGGTGAGGCCTTGATTCAAATGGTTTTGAAATTATTTGTGCAAATTATAAGTTTTTGATGTGTTCTAAACTCGGAAGCACATAATATCTACTCTTGTTTGCAGATCATATATAATGTTTGAGAGGCAACCTCTAGAGCTCTATCTTCTAGCTTATTAAGTTTCATCCTTCTCCCTGCAGGTATGTCTTCAATTGATTTATTTTGTATAGTCTCTGATTTTGCTATAGTACTTTGAAGTTACATTTGCTTTTCTTTTTATACAGTAGCACATTTTATAGCCAATGTGACTACACAGCCTATCTCATAGACCAACAAATTCTCCAGCAGTATCCTTAATGACCAATATTATGCTATGATCTCTTGAATCTCCAAAAACATTACATATCAAGCATTCATACATACATTCATGCATACATACACACATATTCATGCATGCATACATACACACACACATATATTCATACACACATATTCATGCATGCATACATGCATATATAACATAATCTTGCTTATTTTATTTCTTGTTTGCTTTTGTTTTGTACGTTTATTGATTCCTTCTTTGCTTTTTGCTTACGTTATTGCTTGTTTTTTTTTTTTAATGTTAAATTTATTATTGCTTGTTTTCTTCTTTGCTTCAATGCTTCCATGCATATATACACACATATTTATGCATGCATACATCCACTTATACATCCTTGAATCCTTGTTTTGTTTATTGATTCCTTCTTTGCTTTTTTGCTTTTTTGCTTTTTTGCTTCTTTCCTTTTTTGCTTCTTTTGCTTACTTCAATGCTTTACATTGGCTTAACTTGTTTACCTGCTTCCCTCTTTGCTTATTCGATTGTTCTTCTGCTTATATAGTTCGTTGCTTGTTTATTTACTTAACTTGTTTGCTTACTTTTGAACAAAAAAAAACTTGTTTGCTTACTTTCTTATTAAATGCTTAATTTGTTTACTCGGTCAATTTGCTTATTTCATTCATTCCTTTCTTTGATTCTGTTATGTGGCTTACTTACAATTGTATTTATAGCTACCTTATAACTTATATATCCATTAATTTATATATAGATTTTTTTTCTTCTTATTCGATCACAAAAAGATATATGAAACAACAGAGATTTGAGAGACCCTTGTGAGATAAATTTGTAGTATAGTTGTTGTATATATCTGGACTTGATGACACTTGTACGAGTGATTTTTTTTTATGTATGTAATAAATAAGATTTATTGATTTATATATGTAATACAATGGAAAAATGAACATTTTTATTCAAGAAATTAATATATGAATTTCATTTGCTAACTCACAAAGAAAAAGAATAGTGCCTTTTATGTCTGATCAAATTGATTTGTTTCATTGTTAAAGAAATAAAGAGTGGAAAGTTGATTCGCAATAGGCGTGTTACTTGAATAGCAAGTTAACCACTTTTTAAGAAATAATTCTACGTTTTGACGCCAAACACTGCGAACATCATTTTTTTTTATTTCTCTCATGAATCCATATCATCTCTAATCTCAAGTATTAACATCATACATAATTAACATGTCAGCCAAAAATTAAGAGAAATTAAAATAGCCACAATTTAAACATTCTCTTTTTTGTTTCACATAGATCATTCACAAATAACAAGTTATAGAAACCTTAAAGAAACTCACAAATTTGCAGCCGATTTCCAACTTTGCATGCCCACATTGACATTGACATCAAAGCAAATATTGACATTGAACAGAAAAAACATGATAATGTTACGAAGATTCAAGAAAATACATTAAAAGCTTTGGAAGTTCTAGCAACCTTGATGAAGACATCTTCAAGGGTTGTGTCCGCAAGTCCCCAAGCAAACACCCTGAAGCTGCTCTTAGCCTTCTCCACCGCCTGAAACACTTCTGATATTCGAACTTCTTCTTTAGGCATTTCGAACTTCTGTGTCCCTGCGATGTGATATATCTTCTTGGCGTTTGGAGAAACATTTTGAACCAACATCTCCACGTCTTTCTCATTCTCTAATGCTGTTGTCATAGTAAACACATAAGATCCACCATATCTTCCCTTTAGCTCTTTTGGGTTCCCTATGCATTGTAACCTTCCATCTACAAAAATACCCAATCGGTCACAAAGAAACTCTGCCTCTTCCATTGAGTGAGTAGTGAGAATTATCGCAGTGTGTCTTTTGGCACGTTTGATGACTGTCCATAGGTTCATTCTTGAAGCTGGATCAAGTCCTGTACTTGGCTCATCCATATAAACCACCTTTGAAAACAGAAAATTAGATGAAACAATGGATTTATTAAAGATCCATGCAAGTAAGTTTTCCAGGAGATGGGTAAGAGATCAATGACGTGTACCTTAGGACTACCAATAAGTGAAATGGCTACACTTAGCCGTCTTTTCATACCACCACTGTATTTTCCAGCAGGTTTACCAGAAACTCCTCCACGAAACAGGTTCACACTCTTAAGAGACTCTTCTACAGCCTAATTATTATATGCATGAATTCATGTTATGATATTTTAGAGTTATAATATAAAAGCTAGAGAAGTAAAATATTAGTAACATACTTGGTTGAGATCAGAGCCTTTGAGATTCTTAAGTCTCCCATAAAAGAGCAGATGTTCTCTTCCTGTCAGAGTCTCCCAAAGCAAGCTAGTGTACACAAACACACAATAAGAGAATGATATGAACAATCAGATAAAAAAATGTTTTTAAGATTTTAATATAGTTACTCATGCTGTGGGCACACACCCATGCTGGTGTATGCTCTGTCCATATCATTGCATATGTCCAAACCTCGAACAAAAGCTGCTCCAGATGTTGGTTTCGCAAGCCCAGTCATCTGACCAAAACAATACACTATATATTTCAGGACTATGCTATATAATCAAGGCACAGATTAAAGATTTTCTTGTCCATTTTTGTGTACTGACCATATTGATGAAGGAGGTCTTGCCAGCACCATTGGGCCCTAACATGCCGAAGCATTCTCCTGAAGGTACAGCGAGAGATAGCCCTTGAACTGCCATTTTAGGCTGGTTCCCATCCTTACCTGGATACACTTTCTTCAGGTTGTCACATACAATGGCATATCTTGTGCTCGGCTCAAGCATCAACTGCTCAACTTTTTCTCTCTGGTTAGAAAAAAAAGAAAGATTTTTACCATCAAAACAGCTAAAGAAATGCAGAAACGTGTACTTTACTTGTTTATCTATCTGTTTTCAGTCATACCTCCTGAGTTACATCTAGTTTCTCCATTTCTATAGAAACTTCCGAGCCTTGTTTTTGCAGGCCAGGACTTGGCAAAGACTTAAAAGAGTTTTTCAAGAAGAACAAAGGGTCTTTTCCGGATGAAGATATCTTATCGATATAGTATGTTGCAATGAGTGAGACAAACCACTCAATGATTATGATGGAGAAAACTCCATCCATTCCACTATAACTGAAATCTCTCCACTTCATCCCATTCCTTCTGTTAAGAGCATACTCGGAGAACTCATACAACCCACGGTATAAAGAGAAGCCAGGATACAACTCCATCACAAAAATCCATCGTCCTTGGAAAATAAAGTGAAGTTAATATATCAGCATTGTGGTCAGTTTTGAAGTATATATGTGTTGTTCTTGATAGCTTACTAGGAAACGTTGAATCTTCCATCAGAAACTGGAAGAGAAACGCTCCCAAGAGTCCAGATCCAAAGACGTATATGTAGGCAGCAACTACGGTTTTGTGCATAAAACAGAAAGTGTTTATTTTAATGAACACCAACATGTTCATGAGCAAGTTTTTAGAAGTGTGACTTTAGTACCTGATGCTGTCTTAACTTCTGAAAACGCTGAGGAAACTAGAAAGGCAATGGAGATTTGCAGATTTATGTAGATAAAATAGAAAATGAACTGGATGCTGTAGTTATTAAGCCTGAAAAAATTCAGTCCTGCAAGCAACTAATAGCTGTTATAATAATCCCATTGAAGAGAACTCTGTTTTCTAAATAAATATGGCAATGGTTCTGTACCTATTACTGATCCAAATATCATCAAGCATATAACGTATAAGGTGGATATAGCGAGGAAATAGGCGTAGGAAATCACCAAATACGGACCATCTCCAAGACCATGCATTTTCATTATGATTCTTAGACGTTGCTGCTTCTCATACACCATTGAGTTCAATATCACCTGCACAAGAAAATCCAGACAACTATTGAAATCTCCATGATAGGCTTGTAAGGGCCTAAAGCAGTCCAGTGAAAAATGAACTTACAGGGAACAGAAGAAGAATGACCCATGTGAAGAAAATGGGGCCAATGGAAGAAGCAACGTCCACACGAAGCCTAGTTTCTGGTTTAGGCATTTCTTTGATAAACTCAAATAACATCTTTGTCCCTGGTCCTTTCAAATACTGGAGATAAGCATTTGAAACCTACATTTTGTATTTTTGGCAGAATCTAAGCATGGGTTTGATCAAGAGAGTTATTCTTGCACAAGACATTTGGTTTCTTACTAAATTGACTGAGCGAGGAACTCGAACAAGCTTTACACGTCTTTCTAGTAACTTGGTCTTGTATGTAGAGTTATAGAAGATGGTCACGTTGAAGTTGTTCATGTCCGTGTCCAAGAGATCGTATGCTAATGAAAGCAACAAGTAAAATATAGAGAGAAAGTGTCATAAAATTCGAAAATGTAAAATACAGAGACAAACCAAGTGTAGGTTAAGTCTAGAGAAAATGGAATAATCACCTGCAGTGACCTCATTGATAATCTCCTTATGATTTCCTTTCTGATATCTTTTTAAGATCTCATGATTAATGGATTTATTCCTCCAGAGACTCAATCCTTGAACACATCTCACCTCTGCTTAAACAAAAATCCATTAAGTGAATTAACACAAACTTGGAACATGGATTGCATGTAGAAACTTACATGGATATAATCATATACCTTTCTGAAACTTGAGAGGAGACTGTCCAAAAGAAAATGAAAATGTTGTTCTTGGAGTACTACAGTGAGGTTGGATGTTGAAGATGGGAAGATCTAAGTGAACCCCTGGATCAAAATAATTGGTGAACTCTGGCTCTGATGTTGTACCCTGAAGGTGAAGAGTGAAATGAGACTTGATGATAATGAAAACAACCAGAATTCAAGAGGCAGAGAAGAACTTGCCAAGACATTAATGGCTAGATTACGCAACCAGAGTTTAGAGGAGTTCGCCAAGAAAGAAGTAGTAAGCAGATTCTTAGATAAAGCTGGAGAACAAAAAACAAACAGATGTGAAACCTAATGAATGACAACAGAACATATTCAGAACAGTTTGACAAAAACTAAGAGGCTATATAATACATACTTGGTCCAAGGGAGTGGTTATTCCCAGTAACAAGCATAGTAACAGGACAAGATCGTGTTCGTCGTCTACAAGAGACAGAAGGAGTTTTGGGAAGTGGAATGTGTAACAGAGGAGGCAATAGTGGAGGGTTAGGGAAGGCACAGAAAAATGCTTGTTTCTGAGATGAATATTCTAAACCGCAACTCTTTCTTTCGCATTTACCATCTCTGTTTTTGTGGTCGATGCATTGGCAACCACATCGATTATCAGGAGAGTTATTAACATGTGTATCGAACAGAGCTTGAATGCTCACTAGAACCACGCATAGGTACAATGGGATCACGATCAGCCGAACATTGCTCCATATGTTACGTCTCTACACACATGCACATATGTAGTAATAACTCATTTAGCAGAATATTTTGTTCCAATATTAATATACTCCTTTCGTTTCGAAATAATTCATGTTTGAACATGTTAATACAAATAATCATGAAATAGAAATAATAATTAATTTTGCATTAAATTTTTGAAAACATTCTATAATTTGAGACAAATTCTTTTTTTTTTAATTAAAATATATAAATTATTTTTAAACGGCAGAGTATATAATTACGTTCTTGCAACTTAGTAGTATCATATTTTGTAAATTCATACAGAAAATAGAAAGGCCAGAAACGAAGATGATTTCACCTAGAAATTGAAAGGAAACATATTTGAATCTGCCCACGGCTATTTCAAGCATACCTGATAGGCTAAGTTTTTTCTAGACAGAGCGTTGGCCTGCGTCAAGAAACTGGCGGGAAGAAGATCCGCCATCGATGAAAAGCTTCGGTAATCTTCAGTTTCTTGTTCCTCTGTTTTTACAGCGAGTCAAACTTGAATGATGGAGAAAGCTACTAGGATGGGGCAAAGCAAAAGTACTTTTGTGACTTTACCCTAAAAATGAATATATCCATATGACCACACGCTTTAATTTCAAATTGCGTATTAAGTCATTTAGGGCATTAATTTTGTCCATTTATAATTATTTCAACGAACCAACAACAACTTCATTTATTTGCAAGAAGTTACTATGGGTGTGATCCAATAAATTTTCCAACCTCCATGTGATAAAGATCATCATGCATGGGGAAGAGTGGTATGTAAATGTAATCATTTAATATGGAGTGACACACGGCACGTTACTTGAGTTCACAGTGTCAAGAGCATTGAAAAAGTACTTAAGATTTTGTTTTAGCAGAAATAATTTACTTACGATGCATCAGCAGCACATGAGTATGTCAAAACCTTTTTACATGATCAGTTTAGCACACGAGCAATATTTATTGATGTTGAACAGACAAAAAAAGTGACAATCTTCAGAAGATTTAAGAGAAGACATTAAAGGCCTCAGTTCTAGCAACCTTGATGAAAACATCTTCAAGAGTTGTGTCTGCAAGTCCCCAAGCAAACACTTTGAAACTGCTCTTGGCCTTCTCCACCGCCTGAAACACTTCTGAGATCCGAACTTCCTCTTTTGATATCTCGAATTTTTGTGTTCCTGCGATGTGATATAACTTCTTTGCGTTTGGAGAAACATCTTGAATCAACATCTCCACAGCTTTCTCATTCTCTAATGCTGTTGTCATAGTAAACACATAAGACCCACCATATCTTCCCTTTATCACTTTTGGGTTCCCTATGCATTGTAACCTTCCATCCACAAAAATACCCAATCGATCACAGAGAAACTCTGCCTCTTCCATTGAGTGAGTAGTGAGGATTATCGCAGTGTGTGTTTTTGCGCGTTTGATGACTGTCCATAGGTTCATTCTTGAAGCTGGATCAAGACCTGTGCTTGGCTCATCCATATATACAACCTTTTTACACACAAAAAAAAAACACAAATGAAAGAATGGATTTGTGAGAGTGTGAAAAACTTTAATTAACTTCTATAGCAAGTTACTATTTTCGAAACCGTAATGCATACCTTAGGACTCCCGATCAGTGAAATGGCTACACTTAGCCGCCTTTTCATACCTCCACTGTATTTTCCAGCAGGTTTATCAGCAACTCCTCCGTGAATTAGGTTTACACTCTTAAGAGACTCTTCTACAGCCTAATACGCATGAATTGGTCATCCATGAATTGATATTTCTGAAAAGTAAGATATTAGTAACATACTTGGTTGAGATCAGAGCCTTTTAGATTCTTAAGTCTCCCATAAAATAGCAGATGCTCCCTTCCCGTCAGATTCTCCCAGAGCAAGCTAGTGTACACAAACAAACAATAAGAGAATGATATGAACAATTTATTAAAAAAAAATTCAAGAATCTAATTTCTTTACTCGTGTTGTGGGCATACGCCCATGCTGGTGTATACTCTGTCCATATCCTTGCATATTTCCAAACCATGAACAAAAGCTGACCCTGAGGTTGGTTTCACAAGTCCAGTCATCTAGCCACAAAGATACAATACTGACCTTAATATGTGTAATTCATGAGTATTCAAGACAGTGTTTTGTCAATGAGAAGCTGACCATATTGATAAATGAGGTTTTGCCAGCACCATTGGGACCTAACATGCCGAAGCATTCTCCTGAAGGCACAGCGAGAGATAACCCTCGAACTGCCATTTTTGGCGGGTTTCCATCTCTACCTGGATACACTTTCTTCAGGTCGTCACAAACAATCGCATGGCTTGTGCTCGGCTCAAGCATCAACTTCTCGGCTTTTACACACTGAGTGGAACATTACAAGTTTTAGTCACAACAGCTAAGAGAATCAAAGAACTTGGAATGTGTTGTAAAAAATGCCTTTTTTGCTATACCTCCTGAGTGACATCTAGCTTCTCCATTTCTATGGAAACTGCAGAGACCTGTTTTTGTAAGCTAAGCCTTTGTGGAGAAGGAGAGATCTTGAAAGGGTTTTTCCCAGCTGAAGAAACCTTATCGATATAGTATGCTGCAGTGATTGAGACAAACCACTCAACGACAATGATGGAGAAAACTTCATCCATTCCACTATAACTGAAATCTCTCCACTTCATTCCATCTCTCCCACTCAAGTTCCCATGAAAAGCACACTGCGATAACTCATACAAGCCACGGAATAAAGAGAAGCCTGGATACATCTCCAAGACAAAAATCCAGCCTCCTGGTAAAAACAAAAAGTAAAAATTATGTTACCACATCACATCATCAAGAAGTGAACTTGTATATCTGTTGTTCTTGAGGAACTTACTGGGAAACGATAAATCTTCTATCAAGAATTGAAAGAGAGTCGACCCTAATAGTCCAGATCCAAATACGTATATGTATGCAGCAACTACAGTTTTGTGCATAAAACAGAAACTGTTTCTTTTAAATAACACCAACATGTTCATGAGCAAAGTTTGAAAAACTTGTGTGACTTTAGTACCTGATGCTGTCTCAACTTTTGAAAATGCTGATGAAATCAGAAAGGCAAGGGAGATTTGAAGATTTATGTAGAGAAAATAGAAAATGAACTGGAAGCTGTAGTCATTAAGCCGAAAAAACTTCAGTCCTGCAAGTAAACTATAGCGTAAACTATAATAAATCCGAGAGAAAGGAACATAAAAGATATAGAAAAGGTACCTATCGCTGATCCAAATATCATCAAGCATACAACGTATAACGTGGATATGGCGAGAAAATAGACGTATGAAATCATCCAATACGGACCATCTCCAAGCCCATGCATTTTCATTATCATTCTTAGACGCTGCTGCTTCTCATACACTAATGAGTTCAAGATCACCTGCTCAAGAAAATGCTGGTAAGTATTGAAATCCCATGATAGCCTGAAGCAGTGTCCACTTGAAAAATGAGCTTACAGGGAACAGAAGAAGAATAACCCATGTGAAGAAAATTGGACCAATCAAAGAAGCAATGTCTAAACGAAGTTTGGTTTCTTGTTTAGGCATTTCTTTGACAAACTCGAACAATATCTTGTGCCTTGGGCCTTGCAAATACTGAAGATAAGCATTTGCAACCTGCAGTTTTGTATAATTAATCAAGAAGCTGGTCCTGCATGGAAACAGCATAGATATATATATATATTGCAACACAAGGACTGTTTTTGAAGTGTATCACTTAGTTTCTTACCAAACTAACTAAGCGGGGAACTCGGAGCAACTTTGGTGGTTTGTTTCCTGAATCATCCATGTACGTTGCGTTATACCAGATACTCACATTGAAGTTAGTCTTATTTGTGTCCAAGAGATCGTACGCTAAGACAACCAAAGCATGAAAAAACAAAAGAGAGACATTCAGAAATCTCATGTGTATATACTAAGATAAATAGATAATAAATCACAGAGAAGTGAAAAACAACCTGCAGCGATCTCACTTATCGTCTCATCAGAATTTCCTTTCTGATAGCCTCTGAAAATCTCATGATTGATCTCTCTGGAGTTATTTCTCCAAAGATTCAACCCTTGCACGCATCTCATCTCTTTGTTTCAACCAAAAAGAAACCAAGTTAATCCACTATGGAGGCAGGAATGTGGTTCCTCTCAGGAAACTTTATATATACCTTTGGTGAAATTGAGAGGTGATTGTCCTATTGAGAATTGAAACGTAGAGTTTGGAGGGCACCGAGGTTGGATGTTGTAAATGCTAAGATCTGAGACAATCGCTGCATCAAGATAACTGGTGGCACTTCCTTTATATGTTGTGGCCTGAAACATGAACATGAGCTCAAAGTAAAAAAGACAAGAGAGAGTGTATAAAAACAGACAGAATTTTCAACAGAACTTACCAGCACATTATGCGCTAAACCAGACAAGATGTCAAAGGAGTTCATTGTGAAAGACCTCCTCAGAAAATTTCTAGACAAAGCTGGAGAGAACATGAACAATTAGTTCCAGTGAAGAAGCTGCCTTGAACTAGAAGAAGAAGAAGAAGAAGAAGAGTATACATACCTGCTCCAATGGATTGATTATTCCCAGTGACAAGTATAGTAACAGGGCAAGAGTTTCTTCCTCTGCATGAGCCATCAATGAGATTGGAGTCAACGGCACGATTCTGAGGACGAGGAATAAGCATCAAAGGAGGCCATGGTTGTGGATTTGGGATGGCACAGAACACTCCTTGGTCTCGAGTCGAATACTCTACACCACAGACCATTTCACATTGTCCTTCTCCGGTTTTGTCAATGCATTTACAACCACATTGATTATCCAGTGAGTTGTTGACCTGTGAATCGAACAGAGCTTGAATGCAAACGAGAACTATGCAGAGGTATAAAGGGATCATGATGAGACGAACATTGCTCCATATGTATCGTTTCTGTTAAAATCCCCCCAAAGAAATTTCCGCAAGTCAATGGTTGAAAAAGCTCATTCATATATATGCAATTATGGATGAGAAACGAAAACGGCGAACCTGATAGGTTAAGTTTTTTCTAAGTATGGCATTGGCCCGAGTAAAGAAGCTGGCTGGACCAGAATCCGCCATTGATGAAGCTTTGTTAGCTTCAGCTTCTTCTTCTTCTTTCTTCTGTTTTAGACCATCGCCAAATAATACTTGTAGGTCATTAATCAGCAGGACTATTGGTTACATCCGAAGCTTTTTCATTTACTTTTTCCGGCATTTGCTTATTATTTTTTTAAATCAAATTTAACACATTCATTCATTTACCATCATAACTTTTATATTCACCTAATGTACTTTAGATTTCTAGTTGTTCCAATTGGTGACACAACTAGTGGTTGCATCCGAAGATTTCTAGACTAGTGGCTGCATCCGAAGATTTCTAGACTAGTGGCTGCATCCGAAGATTTCTAGTAGTTTGTATTCACCTAATGTACTTTTCTATTAATATTTTCAGTTTTTAAAAACAAATGTAAGATTTGAGTTTCATCTAACAAATACTAGAGTAGTATAATGTTAAATTTGAGAGATCTAATCAACATAAATACAAACACATGATAATATTTGCACTGCTCGACATTGGGACTTCAATAATCAATAGTACACGGAGATGCGAACGAGTGATCCCCACGTCTCTCAGTGGACTAGATTCATTTTTCAGTAGTTATTATTATTACGTGTGCGCAACATCGACATTGATGTACCACTTTTCAAAAACTCTACCAAATCCTTCTATGGGGCGTTTACTTGGACAACAAGTAATGCATGGCCGGACCAACAAAAATTATAGAATATTTGATATAGTTGGAATTTCCGATTTAGACTTTCGTATTCCGGATTACTATTGTGTTTATTAATATAATCTGAGGTTCATGATCCCTGCAGTCAAAGGCTCAAAGGGTTTCTTTGAATAAATTTTAAATACGAAAGACGAAGAGATCTTACATATAAATTTAAAAATATCCTATGACATGTTCGATGATGCTAGTTGTTTCTGTAGAAACTTTCTAATTCGGTGGATGTTAGATCATACAATATTCTTAAACTTAAAGCTAAATAATTGATAAATAAAACGATAATAGACTTGACAAAAATGATAGAATAACGAATAGTCAAATGAACCAAAGATAAAAATATATACAATGAATAAAGATTTCCGAAAATCATCACAAAACACTAAAAATAATTGTATCTTATTTTTAAATCATATTTTGATACCTCTAAAATATAGATAATGGAATTATGTTTTGAAAACTTACAAATTTGATAAGTGTTTAAAATGATACTATAGAATAATAAATATCATGTTTTATAAAATATAAATAAATTCTCTAACTATATATTAATTAAAGTAAAATATTAAAAGCTAAATTTACTAACGTGTCAGCGCCATATTTTTCTTCAGCATTTATTTATTAAAATAATTTTATCATTTTCTAATATTATTTTACAGTCAAACAATATTTTAGATAACATCTAACCATTTTACTATTAAAACATATTCAATATCAATAATTAAAAAATATATACATTTATATATATAATATTATATAATATATTTCTTAACTATAAATTAAACATTTTTAATAAAACATGATTAGTAACTAATAAACAGTTTACAAATATATAAATTTAATATTAACAAATATTATAAAAATTTATAAATATATTTCAAGCTACTTAAAATACATACATATAATTAATTAAGATTGAATGATTTAACCCCATGCTACCAACCTAGTACCAATATATTTATTCTCTTTCAACTGTCTCCATTAATGATTTAATGTATATTGTAAAACAAAGATATGATATACGTTATTTCCAAAATAAATTATTGCTGCATCAATTACATACATCGGATCGAAACGTTATGGACCGAATCCATACAGTGTATTTCGAACAAAGTAGATCAACATCAACGTGACGAAATTTAATTCATTGATTACTTCTCCTTTACTCCATCTCATATGTTTTATAGCAATTCACACGCTAACTGTTATATTAAAACAGAAATAATTTTTTTACTTCTATCAATTAGTAGAATTTATATATGAAGGTGGTTACTGGTTAGATCCACAAAACTAAAAAATGAAGGGGCATGATAACAATACGGTATACAGTTTAATTTTTTTTTTTTATGTTTTAAACATTATTCTAATCTACTCAATACACATGCTATTTCACAGTAAAACATAAAACTAATAAATGTTTTTTCAATTAATCTTACACATTTTAGGCCCTTTAACCAAAAAAATAATAATAATTAACTTCCACATTATAATTTTATAACTACATTTGACAGATTTTTTTTGTCATTTATCTATTTTAAAAATTATTTTTCAGTTAATTTAATGTATGGTGTTTTTTTTTGGCAAGAATGTATCAGTTAAATCTGAATTTTTTTTTTTGTCATGACGCTAACATAGAAGAAAGTGTAACCACAATATACACACATTTAAATAATGTTTTCTGTTTGACAAAATAGATCCACACATTCTTTGACCTTCAAATAAAATGATTTAGAAGTTTGAACAAGGCCTTGTTGGACTATTCAATGGACTACTACTAATATATCAATGTCATTATTTTTTATTGATGTGGTTGAAATCTACGAATCCGAAATTTTAAAGTGTTGAATATCAACAACTTTTAATTGAAAACTCTTTAGTCAAAAAAAATAAAAACGAATATCAACGATTACTGCGCCTATGTAAGATATTTATTTAGAATATATAAATTATAATTACGAAAATATAGTAATATACTAGAAAATATATATATATATACACTTTAATATGTAAAAAGCAAAAGATTAAAAGACTGATTAAGAAAACAATTGCTGGCACTCTTGATTTTTCTGCTACAACAAGAGTGAGGAGAATACAAAGTAATTAAGCAATATTACCATACTTTTTCCAATCTGAAGTACGTAAAAAATAAAAGTACATTAATCTTTCTGCTAAATATGCAATTAATATACTGTAATACGGTTTTGTCTGGAAGTTATCTTTTGCGAGGTAGTTTCCTGATGCAAATCTGAGTGGCTAATTCGTAAATTTCTTCAAACTCCACGGGCACAGATATAAAACACTTTCGTCTCCCTTAAAATCGCTGTACGAAAATCATCAAAATCGGATCACACAGTAGAAAAATTAAAATTCGAAAAAAAAAGAGGGCCCAGAGAGAGACAGAAACGGCGGCATGACGTTGCAGAGAGGTTTGCCGCTTCTCTGGCAGCAGTACACGGCGCTCTTCTGGAAAAACCTTCTTCTCTCATGGCGGAGCAAGCGAGCCACGTTCCTCCAGCTCTTCGCTTCCTTCTTCTTCATCCTCCTCATCTTCTGCATCCAGGAGGCCATGGAGAAGAGCTTCGCCTCCTCCACCGCGCTCAAGACCGTTACGGATCCCACGGCCCTGGTCTCGCCGCCGATTCCGCCCTGTGAGGATAAGTTCTTCGTGAATCTCCCGTGTTTCGACTTCGTATGGAGCGGAGCCGGTAACCCGCGGGCGAGAAGCATTGTTGATGCGATTAGAGCGAATAATCCGGGGAGACCGATTCCGGAGGGGAAGGTACGGTGTTTTCATGGCTTTTGTTTTCTCAATTTCTTCGTCGCAAGTGAGGAAGATTATGTGATTTTTCAGTAGGATTGCGTGATTATTTTAAGCGTTCTTCGTGAGAAATTGAAGTAGATTTTGATGGCCATGTAATGGAACTTTGGTGATGTTTTAGATATATAACCAAACAAATAGTATAAATGGTTAAGATTTACTTTCCAAATATTCAAATTGAATTATATTTTATCCCAAAGTACTGTTCATAATTCAAAGAATCGTTCTTGTTATGTGGTTTTTTTTTCCAGGTTAAGCCATTTACAGATCCTGAGGAGGTAGATGCGTGGCTGATGGCTCATCCTTTGAAAACTCCAGGAGCGTTGCACTTTGTGGAAAGAAATGCTACAGTGTTCAGCTATGGTATTCAAACGAATTCAACTCCTGAGATGAATCGGGGAAGGTTTGAAGATCCCACGTTTAAGTTCCAGATACCTCTTCAAGTTGCCGCTGAGCGTGAAATTGCGAGATCCTTGATAGGAGGTATGCCATATAACTTGCTGAATCTTTCTTGCTTTATGGCAGCAATATCAGAGTCTTAGTTCTGGACGTCTGGATTTGTTATACGCTTTTGCAGTTCCAAACTTTAACTGGGTTGTCGGGTTTAAGGAGTTTCCGCACCCGACTATCGATGCTGTTGTTGCGTTGGACACAATAGGGCCGACTTTCTTCCTTGCTGTCTCTATGTTTGGTTTTGTTCTTCAAATCAGTTCTTTGATCACTGAGAAAGAGCTCAAACTTCGCCAGGTATCGAATTGTTCCTCTATAGGCTGTTTACCACCGTATATATAGTACACTGATTGTGCTTTTTCCTTGACTTGAAACAGGCAATGACGATGATGGGTGTTTTCGACACTGCTTATTGGTTGTCATGGTTTACATGGGAAGGGTTTCTTACTGCTGTCTCGGCGCTCTTGATAGTTCTCTTTGGGATGATGTTCCAGTTCGACTTTTTCTTGAAGAACAGCTTCCCTGTCGTCTTCCTTCTTTTCATGCTCTTCCAGTTTAATATGGTAAATCTGACTCCCTCAGACATAGCGTTGAATACATATTGAAGGATTTATGATTTTCTGTTTTCTTATCAATCAAATTATATCTCTATTGTTTGTGCTGCTAGATTGGACTAGCGTTCATGCTATCAGCTTTTATCAGCAAATCATCTTCGGCAACAACTGTCGGCTTCTTTGTGTTTCTGGTTGGGTTTGTGACACAGGTACGGTTCTGAAGTATCTGAAACTGTTTCTTATGAGCTGTTACTAATCATAAATCTTAACTTCAGCTTGCAACATCAAGTGGGTTTCCCTATGCCAAGAATTTTTCTCTCACGATCCGGGCGCTTTGGTCACTGTTCCCACCCAATACCTTTTCTCAGGGTCTAAAGCTGCTTGCTGGTGCAACTTCAACTCCTCAAGATCCTGGAATCAGTTGGAGTAAGAGAGCAGAGTGTGCACCCAACGATGAAACTGATTGTGTGATTACCATTGTACGCCAACTCTCACAGCAAATTCCATCTAATAACCGTGTCCATTTGTTCTCTCTGATCATTACTTATTTGGTTTTTGGCAGAATGATATCTACTTGTGGCTTCTTGGGACATTCTTTTTGTGGTTCGTTATGGCTCTCTACTTTGACAATATTGTTCCAAATGCTTCCGGTGTGAGAAAATCGATCTTTTACTTTCTAAAACCTGGTTACTGGACCGGTAAAGGTGGCAACCGAGTGGAAGGTACTTTCTTTCTTCTGAGTCTTGTTTCTGTGTGTTTATTATTAGTTTTTGTGTTGGAAGATTTATTAGGATTGACCGTTTCCACTCTGAGCAGAAGGTGGAATTTGTAGCTGTACTGGTTCAGTCCCACCTGTGGATCATGTTACCCCAGATGACGAAGATGTCCTCGAGGAGGAAACTCTAGTTAAACAACATTCAATGGAAGGCGTAGTTGATCCGAACATTGCAGTTCAAATACGTGGTCTTGCAAAGACTTATCCTGGGACGACGAATTTTGGATGCTGCAAATGCAAGAAAACGGCCCCTTATCATGCTCTGAAGGTATTTCTTCTAAGAAAGCAAAAGTGAAAAACTGATGTTCCTACGTTGGTCAATTGCAATTTAGAATGGTAGAGTGTCCCATGATACGTTTTTCAATTATTCCTTAACTAAATTCTTTGGAATATAATCAGGGGTTGTGGATGAATATTGCCAAAGATCAACTATTCTGTCTCCTTGGACCCAATGGCGCAGGGAAAACAACTACTATCAATTGTTTGACAGGCATAAATCCAGTTACAGGTGGTGATGGTAAGAAGCTCTCACTTATTCTTATTGTTGTTTCGTAGAAGCTAATATGTCTTGAGCACTTCACCATACTGAACTCTCTCTTATTGGCTGAAACAGCATTAATTTACGGAAATTCTATAAGAAGCTCTGTTGGTATGTCCAACATCCGTAAAATGATAGGAGTTTGTCCACAGGTGGGCCATTATCTTGTTGCTACCTCCTTCTGGCATTTGCCTTAGCTAACAATGATTCATGACATTCTCATTCTTTCCACAGTTTGATATACTTTGGGATGCGTTGTCTGGTGAAGAACACCTCCGCCTTTTTGCTAACATTAAAGGATTGTCACCTGCATTGATCAACTCGGTATGTCACCCAAATAGTAGAAATGAGTTGGTTGGTTTCTTTAACAGCTTCCAGCAAGAATAGATGTAATCTAATTTCAACTCCAAATAAAAAAAAAGCACTTTGCCTCTTTTGTTGCTTAAAATTGCTTATTTTTCCGTCATGCAGATGGTTGAAAAGTCACTGGCGGAGGTAAAACTGACAGAAGCAGGGAAAATCAGAGCAGGAAGTTACAGTGGAGGAATGAAACGCCGACTCAGTGTTGCAGTTTCACTCATTGGTGATCCCAAGCTGGTCTTCCTGGACGAACCGGTTTGTTACTATTAGTAACATTTATTTCATCGATGTTTGTTTATCTACCGCTTCCTTTTCACATGCGCGCTTGTCATACATGGATTACAGACTACAGGCATGGACCCGATCACGAGGAGACACGTGTGGGATATTATACAGGAAACCAAGAAAGGTCGCGCCATTATTCTAACGACGCATTCAATGGAGGAAGCTGATATCTTAAGTGATCGAATAGGGATTATGGCTAAGGGTAGGCTTCGCTGCATTGGAACCTCGATCAGGTTGAAGTCCCGCTTTGGGACTGGTTTCATTGCTAACATTAGCTTCGTTGAAAGCAACCACCAAGAAAACAACGGCAATAACCACAATGGTGAAACTGGTGCTGCAGATTCACGCGAGCCAGTGAAGAGATTCTTTAAAGATGTGAGTCTGTTTTCGGTAAAAGTTTTCATATTACAATGCGGTTTACTTAATGCAACGCCCTCTTGAGCTGTGATGTTTTTTTCGTGCAGCATCTCAATGTTAAACCTATAGAAGAAAATAAGTCCTTCATGACTTTTGTTATACCGCATGACAAAGAGAATCTTTTGACTGTAAGCATTTACACAACTAATCATACTATAGAAGCTTACTACCTTGTCTTGGAACTATGCGCAAGTGATTTCAAAACTTATTTGCTTTTCCTTAACAACGAAACAGAACTTTTTCGCTGAGCTGCAAGACAGAGAACCCGAATTCGGAATCTCAGATATCCAACTTGGTCTCGCGACTCTTGAAGAAGTCTTCCTGAACATAGCAAGAAAAGCTGAACTCGAAAGCGCTGCTGTTGATGGAACAATGGTCACTCTCGACTTAACATCTGGCTCGTCCGTTGAGGTATATAACTTGCATCTCATCTCACACTCATATCTATAGATAGAGACTTTTAACGCCCGAGCTGATCAAATCCAATCCAATCCCAATCTACAGATACCGGTTGGGGCAAGATTTGTTGGGATACCAGGAACCGAAACTGCAGAGAATCCGCGTGGGATCATGGTGGAAGTGTATTGGCAACAAGACGAGTCAGGATCATTGTGCATCTCAGGACATTCCACGGAGATGCCAGTTCCTGAAAACGTTCCTGCGACGGATCCAGTGGCACAAGGACAAGGCGGAGTAAGCTTGTTGGGACGGAGAGGACGGAGACAACAAGTACAGGGAGTTGTGATTGATCCTGACTTTGTTAGGTTTACTAGAAGCGGTTCCACAAGAAGCGGTTCCACTTCCCAACGTTCTTCATTGTGAAATGAAAAAATCTAACACACACACAAACAGTTCTTAACTTACTGGACTGGGCTCTACAGGTTTTTCTGCCTCTTTGTTGTATTTCTATACGAAAAATCAAATCACAGGCATGTCTATTTAAATTGTTTTTACGTAATTATGATGATGTAAATTAGACGGTTGTTTGTTATTAAAAATCAAATATTTATACTGCTATGTTCATTTCATAGTGAGACTGACTATGGTCCAGTGAGTTCCACAAGTCTGAGAGGTTCTGTGTTTAGGAAATTTTCATCAGTGTTGAGCAGTAATCGATATGTGAACTAAGAGTTTAATATACAGAAACTTGATTTACATTTGTAGACGGTATTAGCAAAAACCATTGGACTAAATGTCGTGGTCTAGAAACGTATTTACATAAAACAACAAGATGTGAAACAGCAAAACTCTGGTGTAATGAACATTGAGCTACTAAACGATTTACTGTATCTGTATATGTACGCATATACACAGGTTTAGCCACGCCGTGACGTTACAGTTACCGGTCTTGATTCTTCCGGTGCCTGAAACATAGCCAAAACAAACCAACATTCTAGTAATTGTGTCTGAAAAAAACCAAAGCCAGAAATAGTAATCTATTTCAAGTGCCTACAATACAAAGTACCTTTTGTCCGAAAGATTTGATGATGTAAACCAGTAATCTATCTCCGGTTATACTTCTCAGTCGCTGAATCAAATCAGACCGCGAGATTCTCCTGTCCTATGAGTTGCAAAGGAACCAAAAACCAGAATGTTATGATGAGGAATGAGGATGAAACAGAGAGTTAATTTAAGAACCTATTAAGAAACTCAAGTGCACTTACTTGCAGTTCTCTGTAGTGTGTTCGAATGAGAAGGATTTGTGACGGATTAAGAAACTTCGATATGGATTTGATCAATACCGGAAACAAAATCCAAGGCGATTTCGGATTCTCTACAACATCAAGAGAACATACCAAATTAGCCAACTGAAACAAACTGTTGATTGTATGAATCAGAAGAAGAGTCTAGCCATCATGTTTTCTGCTTACTTCTTCTCAAGATTGATGGAGCTTTGATGCAAACAACAAACTCAGGCAAAACATGAGTGTTCATATGTGTGCTCCAAATGATATACTTCTTCGGAGATGTTAAACTGTCTACACCTGAATCGAACTCTTGAGAACTCGGATACGATCTTGTGATCGAGCCCTGAGGAACAACAATCTCTGAGTTCCCCAATATAACTCTTGAAAGCAGCAAGAATCTAACCCCGTCTTCGTCACCAGATGATGGAGAATCTTTCAGGCTATATACAAAAAGAAAACATTAATGAGAAGACACATTGAAGATTAGTAACGCACAAAAACAAAACACAAAATGTAAGTGTTACTTTACCATTGAAGAGGTGCATTGTCTGGTGAGAGATGTAATAAGCCATGGTTGTTGTTCCTAAGCTTTTGATGGCTAAATCCGTACATTAGTATCTCTTTTAACTCTTTCTTCTCCACGCCGCACCAACCGTATTTCACTCTCGCCGCTTCAGCCGCGGCTTTGCTTCCACCGCCTTTGCAGCAACCGCCGTTTTTCTCAGCAACGGACTCTGTGTATATACGAAAGGCTTTAACCTTAGCTTGGCCCAATGGGCTTTGAAATCCGTTCTTGAGAATCGATACGATCTGAAACTGAGGAGTCAGGTTGGATTGGCAATGGCGATAGATTAGCTCGTAGGCTTTATCGTCTTTAGGCAACTCCATTAGCTCGAGCTCGTTAGCAATCGATGACGACGACGGTTTATCACAATCGGAAAACTCTTCGTTGCTCCTACTTTCCGATGATATTGTGGACCCTTCTTCTTCTTCTCTGTAAATGTTTAGCTCCGTGGCCGGAAACTGGTTAATCGGAGTTTCTTCGGGGTTTGTACAATCCATTGCTGAGAAACAAGAACAACAAAATCTCAAAATCAAGAACTCATAAATATTTAAACTAAAAGAAAAGAAGAAAAAGAAAACAATAATCCAAAATCAAACCTTTTTAACAATTCTGGACTAAGTGAAACTGTTTGAAGGCTTTTGTGTATTTTTTGAAGTTCAGTTACAGAGAGAGAGAGAGCGATGATTTATATATGAATAGTTAATGGAAAAGATTCTCTAACTCTGTGTTCTTCTTTTTTAAAGTCTTCCTGTTGCGGTTTTGTTGTCTGTTTTCCCATTTCTTTTAAATATTTATATTTTTAGAAATTGGAGTTTTCTGTCTTTTCCTTGTCCGTGAATGAGAAGTTTCCACATTCACACGACTGATCTTAATCCCACTTAATTAACAAAAGGGCATACGTGCTTGTAAATGTGTAAATGTCAAATCCTACACGTTCTAGTTTACAATAAATACAATAATGAACCGTATCTCGAAAATAATAACATTTTATTCACGCAAAGCTTCTCTAATCTTGTCGACAAAAACAAGATCAAAAAGCTCATAACTATTGATTTGCATGCAAGGATTTTTTATTAGTAACAGTTTTTAGTTAGACTAGATATTTATCCGCGCTATGCTATGAGATATTTTTCTAAATTCTATATATATTTTTAATATAATAAAATTATTTTTATAATATAAATGAGTATTATATTTATTTTTATTAGCTTAAGTTATGTATTTTTATGTTTTAAATCTGAACAAACAATATATATTTTTATTTTTATTTTATTTTTCAAAATTATAATTTGCTATTAAATTTAGTTAGTTAACTAATTATAAATGTATATATAGAAATAAAATATATAAGAACAAAGCAAAAGTAATCTATTTTCTCCAATAAATTGTCACATGATCTCCCTTTGTAATTATATAAAGTAAAATGTCATTTAAAAAAATATTTACTAAGTAATATAATTATTTTGAATTATAAAATTTATTTATTTATCAAATATTTTATTATAAACATATGTTTCTAAAACTACCAAACTATAATCAATAATATTCATATCAAAACCATTGCTATTGCTTTAGAACTAAATAAAAAATTATGTTTGAACTCTAAAAATATCGTTTTAGTTAAAGTTAAATAATTAAATTTTGGTTACTGTAAACATACTTTAACTTGGAAATTTAGTACAGAAAATTTCATCTTCTTACAAAAATCGAGAAATCGTAATTTTCGTCAAAACAAAAAAACTTCATTTTCTCATTAAACTGAAAAATCGGCTATTTCCGCCAAAACAAAAAAAAAAAAATTCTCGTCAAACCTAAAACCTAAAATTTCATTTTCCCGCGAGAATCTGTGTTTTTCCACCAAAGCCGAGAAATTACGTTTTTTCACAAAAACCCAAAAAATTCATCTTCTTGCAAAAACCAAAAAAAAAAATTGTATTTTCCCGCCAAAATCGAAAATTTTATTTTTCCTGCAAAAACTGAAAAATCGTTTATTCTTGCCAAAACAAAAAAAAAATCATTTTCTCGTCAAGTCCAGAATCACGCTTTCCTACAAAAACAAATAAACTACAATTTCCCGCGAAAACCAAAAATTGCATTATCTCCCGTGAAATTGTGTTTTCCCGCGAAAACTAAGAAATTGTTATGTTTTTAACGGTTCAAATTTTTGCCGATGTGTGAGCTTCTTATAACATAAGGTTTTTTGCGTTGTTGTCATGGAAACATAGTTGATGCTCAGCCTACACTTTTTCAATCATATACGTCTATGTCAAACAAATAGATAGCTAGGACTTTTTTATTATTTATTTGTTATTATTTATTATTTAGATTTGGTTTTGACAAAAAAAAGAATACATTGATTTAATTTTTTTATTTGTTTTTATTTATTATTATTTGGGTTTGGATTTGGCAAAAAATAAAATAATAGTTTTTTTATTTGCTGTTATTAATTATTTGGGTTTGGGTTTTGTAAAAAATAAAACAAAAATTAATAAAAAAATATTTGAGTTTTTAGTGGATTTAAGTTTAAAAATTAAAATAAGTAGATGAGATGTATTAATAAAATATTTTGATTGGTGATTATTTTTTGTGAAGTGTCATGTTTATAAAGTTCAAAAAGCTGAGATGTCAAGCTATGGAGAGATTTTAGTGTTATTGTAGTGTTTGATTAGTCTACGAATTAAGTTTCATTCAGTTGATTGATGTATATAATAGTTACTATGTTAGTTAAAGAATATCCAACTGAAAACCCTTTCACAAAAATAATAATAATAATAAACAGAAGTTAAGTTAGGAAATAGTCAAATATTTTATTATTATGATTGTGCGTGAGAAGCCTGAAGCCATTACTACTAGTTTGGGTTTGTCTCTGCGGCGCAAACTGTTTTGTGAAAGTGGAAGGCCGGTCGTTTTTACGTATTGGTAATAAGACGAAATTGCCCTTAAACGGGTTGAAACAATGGCTAAAATTACCCTTTACTCACTCTGGTCGTGATGTAACTTGAATGGTTTTGGTAACCAGAAATGGAAACCGTGGGGTTACGCGTGGGGATAGAAATTTGAAACAGTAAACGAAAATTACAACTAATTTATCTCAGTACTCTCATGTGCGTTAATACCTATTGATGAATATCGACTAGATATGTTAATGTTGTTACTCATTGACTCAAATGTCAACTAGTTAGTGGCCAATGAATGAATATCATCCACGTTTTTGAGACGATTTTCGAATATTTTTTTTTTTCGTATATTTAATTAGTATAACTTTGTAAGTAAAAAAAACGTGTAGCATAAAGTCACTAATATAATTATTCTGCTGCTCAAGGATTAAGTTCAATTCTTTAGACAACAATTAATTATCTGGTTGGAAAGTTGGATTACAGTAGTACGTAAAATATGTTGTCGTACAAGTTACCAATTCCAAAGAGCAAGCATGCAACATAAACCATCTTTTTTGTTCTTTCATTTATCAAACCTATTCAAAAGATAAGCTAGCTATTTGATTTGTTTATGCCTTTTTTAAGTTTGTTGATTTTTAAGAGCTAGTTTAAAACAAATTACTAATTACATAAAAAGTGTTTCTAATTGCACTTTGAAGTTTAAAATTTGGAAAATTAGATATTTTTATATTATATATACGAGTTAAGGTGCTATTTATATTTTTGTCTGTTTACCATTATATTCAGTATTTTATTATATTTCAATTTGCTGAATATACATATTGGATAGGAAAATAAAAACTATAGCCATAGTGATTTTAGAATTAAACATATAACCAAAAACCCTAATTCTTATATTTGAATGACAAAATTACCCCTACAAACTATTAGACGAAAATAGTATAATCTTGCATCATTTTTACTATTTTATGTTCTATTTTATACAATTTTATTTTGCAAATTATAAATAGTATTTATAAAACTTATCTTTAAAAAAAACACATGTCAATTTTCTGAATAGTAATATACTAATATAGGGCTGACTAATTAAAGATATAATCATATCGAATTATAAATAAAAACGTAACTATGTCATTGTTGTGTGAACATTTTTACTTCTATATTTCAAACGGAAAGGAGAGAATGAGAAAATTCTATACTATTTAACCATGCTCTCAATTATGTATTGTTTATACTATTTTGTTCTATACTATTTTTTAGCTATTTTATCTTGCAAAATAATATACACTTGTTAATAAAACAAAAAAAATTGACTATAGACCCCTGAAAATAAACTCACATACTTTAAAACTAAACTCAAGCTACGATTTACTATACCCAAACCCCCAAACATAAACTATACGCTGTTATATACTGTAATTCCTAATCTGCAATAGACTCTTGAAAATTAACTCACATAATTTAAAACTAAACCTAAATCAGTACTTACTATACTCAAACCCGTGAACCTAAACCATATGATGTTAAATAAACTCACATAATTTAAACATAAACTCAAACCAGTACATACTATACCCAAACCTTCAAACATAAATCAAAATTATTATGCATATAGAATAACTCAAATCATTTAAAACTAAACTTAAGTCACTACAAACTATAACCCACCCTCCCCCGTACTATTTTATATATTTCAAATTTAAAATTAATCTTACAAATAAATTTCACATAGAAGTAAATTAGCAAAATATTAAAAGTAGTCCAACTAACAAATTTACCTAAAATATTATTTTGACAAAGTAATATATTACATTCGTATCGCATACTATAGTAAGAAAATTTGAAAATAGTATATTCTATATATTTTTCTTTCTTATGATAAGAGTTAAATCGGTATTATTGTATATTATACATAAAATATCATAACACCAATTTTAACATGCTTATAATTTCAAATAACATGTTCAATATGGCTATTGAACCTAAAATACATTGTTTTTTCAGAAATTCAAATTGCCACTAAAGTGTGCTGGAATACTTTAAGCCTTGGAATACCAAGAATCTAACAAATACTTTAAGCCCATATGCGGAGTAGTTTTACAACATTGAACTAATTCATTGGGTAATAGCCCAATTACAATAGATGGATGTGCTTTTCCATATTATTTTGTTTTTGTATTTTTCCTTTTAGTGAAACCCATCATGCTGGTTTCTATGTTTTCATCTTTTTTGCTATTGAAGTCATTACTAGGTCAGGCAGAAGTTGACTTTTTTACTAACCAGAAAGATTCCAAACCGGTATATAAACTATCCTGAATCTGTGAAATGTTTGGTGATCTTGTCATTTAAGATGTTCATAATAGTTTATCATAATTAGTTCGTATTCAATCCGACGAATATATATGCTTACAGTAAATCCTTTAACCAATGGATCACCAAAATTTGGTTGTTAGATAAAATTTGATATTAGGCGTGCATATATGAATTTGGATTCGTATATAACTTTTTGTTTGATTTATTTTGTTCCGAACCTGAATTTCAAATTAAATTGTGAAAATGGAAAAAATTAAAATCATTAAAAGTTGAAAATAAATAGTGTGTGCAATAATATTAGTTATATATATATACTAGGTATATAACTCGCGCTGTATTAATATTTTGGTTTAATTTTTTTTAGCTACTATCTTTAAAATTATTAAAAATATTATATATTTTTAAAAATTTTCATTTATATAAGAGAATTTAATATATAATGTGTAGTTTATCCTATTTTTATTTATAAATTTTAAAAAACTATTAAGTAAAACAATAAGAATGACACCTATCAAATTATCCAACTTCGACGTACATATACATTTGATTTAGAGAAATATAATCTTGGTAAGATTTTGGTATTATTTTCTGTTTTCCATAGAATTTTTATAGTTCTTTTTTTCTTGAAGGTTTATGTGTTCAAATATTTAGTTTTTTATTGAAAGTCTTATTGATGTTATGTACCCGTGCATATATAATCCATGATTCATGTTGATTCGCATTTAATTTTGTTAGAAAGCTGTAATGATCATGCAAAACCATTTTTCCTTCTCCATCATGTCTTCCAAGAGTTTTATGTTATATTTTTATTCAATTTTCATTGTTTTAATTGTTAAATCGAGTTGTTGTAAAAAATTTAAATTTTTCAAATTAACTTTTAATATTTTAATTATACTTAATAATTTTTGGTTTGATTACAAAACTAATGTGGATCCATTAAATCAAGTTTTTCTGTCATAATCATAGTTAACATCTTTTCATTTAATGAAAATGCTGATGTGGACTTATCAGATCGAGTTTTTTTTTAAAAAATTAATATTTAAAAAAATAGAAATTAATTTTGTAATGTTTTAATCAAATTTAACATTTTTATGTTTAATGACAGATGGTGATGTGGACCAATCATATTGAGTTTCTTCATCTTAATCATACTAAACATTTTTGTGATTAATGAAAAATGATGATGTGGACCAATCAGATTGAGTTTCTTCGTCCTATTAATATTTTAAAAAAAATAGAAATAGTTTTCTAATGTTTTAATCAAATTTAACATTTTTATGTTTAATGAAAGACACTGATGTGGACCAATCATATTGAGTTTCTTCATCTTAATCATATTTAACATTTTTATGATTAATAAAAAACAATGATATGGACCAATCAGATTGAGTTTTCTAATCACATGTGGACGTCTTCAATGCACTATACCATCAACTTTTATATATTATATGATGTGTGTATTCATTACATGTACCCCGTATTAGCCATTTAGCCAATGCATCTTCCTCTGTATATAACGTTTCACATCAAATATATGAAATAATTTGCTCACTCTCTAGAGTTTTCATTATATTTCTTTAATATGCCAATATTTAAACCATTAAACATGAGCTTTAATTACTTGTCAGCTACAATTATATAATCAGATATTCTCTTGTTATATACAACGCTAACAATAGTCATTCCTTGACAAGAAGGGACAATTCTGACAAACTTCTTTGCTTTAAATAATATGAGCGTAAGTCCAAACCACTTGCTTCGTTCATCAGCTGACAAAACAAAACCCTAAATAAATAGATAAACCATTACATAATAGAGAACACAAACGCCAAAACTAATGATCAACATTTCAGATATAATAAGAAGGGGACTTAAAATTGAGAAGACAAAAAAAAAAAAAACAGAAAAAAACTCTTTGCTGCACTAATTCTACTGCATGAGCAAACTTCGGATGAGTGCAGCTTGAGCTGAATCAGTTGATTCTAAAAGTTGAGACAATCTTTCACTAAGATCATCCACTTCTTTGTTCAAGTTCCTAATGTAACTGCATGTCTCTTGTAATACTCTTGATGCTGATACCTGAAATGTAACTAAAATGTGTTATCATATTGATAAGAAAAGGGATCTACGAAGTTTATAAAAAAATGCGAATTATTTGGTTTATTTTTAATGAGGAGGCTCCAGTTTGATTGCAAAATTAGATATTAGTATAGTTTGATGGAGGAAATCAAAGTAAAAATAAGTACCATATTTTAAAATGATGAAAAAAAACATTGAAATGAAGAACTGAGTCGGTCATTAATTGTACCTTTCCAGAGCGTCTAGTGTTACCAAGTTCGGGAAGAAGATGATGAAGCTGGAGGACAAGATCGTTGATTTGGTCTTCGGTGATCATGGAAGCTCCCGTTTGCCTGGACCGTGACTTTCGGCTAGACATTATGTAATATGGTAGGGTATAGCTAGAGATTTATAAAATTTAGGGTTTATGGATCTTGATCAATATAAGATATGTGAGTGTAAGTCTTCTATATGTATGTTGTTTATATTATAAGAGTGAGGGCAAGGAAGAATATAGAAGTGCAACTGCATAGAATAAAACATGAATGGTTGCAACTTGTGTTTATATAGAAGATTTTCATCCGTTTTGGCTCTATGAAATAATTTAATAGATGAAGAAGGATCTATATATGTTTCTTTTTGCATGTTTCCTGAAAACTGTAATATTTAAATTAATCGGTGAGTAGATTAAAATTCCGACTAGTGTTTATCATAGCGAATAAAATAATAGTATTACATCTACTTTTCATTTTCTTTGTTTTTTATTGTACATTAATTAATTTCATTTTCTTTGTTATCCGAGAGGTTTAACTTGAGCTTAATTACAAGTTACAACCACAAGGTATACGAACACTCGATTACTTTTAGTTTCACATGGTGGAAACGCCAGTTTTATTAGAAAAAAGTAAGACACCAAACTGTTACAACAATGAAAAACTGTTATTTTTTATTCGCAAGAACAGTTTAAGCGATCGATTTTTTTTTTTACGCTATTATTCTTATAAGATTGAATTTCCATTGTATCCAACAAAAATAACTAAATAAGAGTATCAGATTATATATTCAACATTAATTCTTTTGCTATTATAATTTCCATATTTCTTCTCTATGTGTTTTTGTAGTGACAACATTCATAACAAGGGGTGATCCTAATTCAGGGCTGTGCCTATATGTAGAAAAAAGAAACATGTGCCTACGTAAAATAATTTTATACAAAGTTTAAAAATCCATATTTGTAATTATGTTTATGTTGTATTTTTTTTACTTGTTAGTATCTCTCCTATGAAATCAAAGCACAATCTATCAATATAGGTAAGTTTTTAAATACATGTCCTAGTTTGCTAATTTATAGTGAGTTCCAAGAAAACTATTAAATTCATGTTTTTAATGGTAAATTGATTATTCTAAATCCATATTTCATTTTTTTAATGTTTTGTTTATCAATATCTTCATTAGTTTTTTTCCTATACTTATGTATTTATATCTTTTATAAATTATGATATATGAAACTACTTTTTTAGTTTTGTCTACAACCTTAAAACCTTTAGACATCATATAATATATAAAAATTAATGATATAGTGCATTGAGGACGTCTACATGGGATTAAAAAACTTGACCTGATTGGTCCATATCAGTATATTCATTAAATAAAAAAATGTTAAGTATGATTAGGACGAAAAAACTTGATTTAATTGGTCCAGATCAGCTTTTCAATCAAACCAAAAATTATTAAGTATAATTAAAATATTAAAAGTTCTAATTAATCCAAATCAACATATTTATCAAATCAGAAAATGTTAATATGATTTAAAAATTTAAAAGTTACGTAAAAAATTAACAATTGACAATACATATATATAAAAAAGTAACCATTATCAATTATCAATTTAAAAAATCTACAACAACTCGATTTAATAATTAAAACAATGAAAACTGAATAAAATATAACATAAAACTCTTGGAAGACATGATGGAGAAGGAAAAATGGTTTTGTATGATCATTACAACTTCCTAACAAAATTAAATGTGAATCAACATGAATCATGGATTATATATACGGTGGTACACAACATCAATAAGACTTTCAATAAAAAACTAAATATTTGAATACATAAACCTTTAAAAAAAAGAACTATAGGAATTCTATGGAAAACAGAAAATAATACCAAAATCTTAGCAATATTATATTTCTCTAAATCAAATGTATTGTACTGTCAAAATTGGATAATTCGATAGGTGTCATTGTTATTATTTTACTTAATAGTTTTTTAAAATTTATAAATAAAAATAGGATAAATTACATATTATATATTAAATTCTCTTATATAAATGAAAATTTCTATAAATTTCTATAATTTTTAATAATTTTAAAGATAGTTGCTAAAAAAAATAAAATATTAATACAGGCTCGCGTAGCGCAAGTTATATACCTAATTTATATCTTTTATAAATTATGATATATGAAACTACTTTTTTAGTTTTGTCTACAACCTTAAAATCTTTAAGCAGTGCTCTGTCCTAATTAGACAGATAATATAATATTTAAGAGGTGATGCTTGATTATAGTATATGGGGATAGCTTCTCGTCACGACTAGGAGGATACTAAATTTAACAGACAAAGGGAATATGCATGGTGCCAAATTATTAACATGTCCATGTTGCTATATTTATGGGCAAACTTGCTTAACTTCTGTAATTAGTGATGATATATAAATAAAAAAAAACCTTGATATATGTACAGACAAACATGAAACAGTAGGTTTTGTTTTTATTATAAACTAACTTAAATAATTCGAATATCAGTATTTTCTATTTTGAGTGTTCCTTAGTTTGTTTTTTGGTATATCTTTCATTCAATCAGGTAGTTAATTAAAATTTTAGAATAATCAATCAAGCGTTCGTTTATTCTAATTCATTGAGACATGATAACTACAACTATATTATAAATTTTTAAAATCGATGGAAAGGATTCCTACAAATCAATTTAATAGTACTGAAATCATAAGTACTTATATGCATGGATAGGTAACTATATTAGATTATATGATACCAAGTCGTTATTTCCATCATATAATATATTAAATATTTTTGTGGAATGACAAAATTTTAAATACCTGTGTGGATAGATAATTATATATATAACATAAATTTTGTTTTGACGATTTTACTTTCGTTAAACTGTTATTTGGAAATTCCGAATATTTCGAACTTGTTTTCAGGGACAATGACACCAGTATACGAAAAACAAAAACATATCAACCATTTGCAACCTTTCAACACCATCGAAAAGTGTAAACTTTTGTAAACTAATGACTAATGTGGTTACCAATGCTTTGTTTTGACTACGCCGATTTTGTGTCACTAAACCAGTCAATTGGTAATTAAAAACCTGATTATGAAAAAAAAAATTGTTAAAAAAAGAAAAAGAGTATAATGATGTATCCATCACTATTAAGAATAGCCCATCGAGTTATCGTGGATATTTGTCGGTGTTTCCCATATACAACAACGACTAGGCGGAGTTCGTGGATCGATAAAGGTGGATCGATAAAGTTATATACTAGACATGGTACGTTTTATAATTGTTCTTAGCAACTTCTCTTTAAAATGAATTGTTATGGATCTTCGAATTAAAAAATAAAAAAGTTCACATGGATTCATTAGATAACAAAATTATTAGTACTATATCATTAACCGATAAATTCAAGTTAGACCAGGATATGTATTATTGTTTTTTTTTTTTTTTGCTGAATTGATATGTATTATTGTTGTTTGTGTTAATGACGTTATTGTGTAAAATTTATATATATATATATATATATAAATATATTATTGTTTATAAATTTGGAGATAGATAGACAATTTTTGACAGGTCAAAGCAAGCACATCTTGCAACTTGTGGTATTAGATATTGTGAAATATGTACTTTCACATATTAGGTCATTGTATTTTTTTCTTTTTTTTTGGTTTCTTATGATCATTAACAATCCGAGGATTAAAAATAGCTATAGCAATACAATGACCTAATATGTGAAACTATAGCTATAGCAAAAGTTTCAAATAAATAAAAATATTTTTTTGATAAATTAATCAATATATGGTACTATTGCGTGGTCAGCTTGGATCTCGGGGCACATGATTTCATTGGAATATACAGCAAAGAATCACGAGGTACTCTGTTAATTTGCCTTTTTATTCTCTGATTTAAATTTTCTAATTTCACTCTACTTTTGTTTGTGACATCATTTTCACACTAAATTCATAAATTACCAATATACGACATATACCCGCAGGCTGCAGCCATCGGTCACCATATATAGCTGCTAAACAGCACACTGTTTTTCCTAAACTATTTATTTACCTTTTCCTCTTTGAAACATTTTTCTTAATTCTATTTCCCTTCCACATTTGTAAATAACCAATTTCTTTTTATCAAAAGGTTTTAAATTTATAAAAAAATAAAAATATATATACTCAAGTTTTTAAGTCTACTTCTCATTATAAGAATCAAATTTGAAATAGATAAAAAAGAATCTTGTTGCTTAATTTCCTTTTTTCAAGTCTAAATAAGATAATGTAGTTTTTTTTTAACAAAAAAAAAGAAATAAAGATAACGCAGTTAAAAAAAACACAGTAACTTTTTTTTTACAACTCATAATTTCTTACCGTACAAGAACGTTCAGACCAGTAAGATACAGTATTACGAATTCTTTTTACGTTTGCTCAGCGGTTTTATTCTTATGAAAAAATGATATTAGAATTGTAGATGGTAGATATATTTTTTTTTTTTGAAAAGCAAGATATAAACATTTATAAATGACAGCCAACACATCTGTATATTACTTCATTTTTACCATCCAAAATCAGCTGTCAGTTGAACCAAAAGGGAAAACTCACATATGTAACCATATCTAATCTAACCGAACAAAAGTAACATATAAAAATATGTTAGAATAGTCTGGAGAAACCCAAGTTGAAGGATTAGTTTAAAACTTTATTAGATTTTAGTACAAAGAAATTCCAAGAAAGATTACGGAGATCTTTTTGCCATATGGTTTCTGCCTGAATTATTCGCTTCTGTGTTATTGTATTTGTTGTATAACATTATAACGAATTTTCATAGTTTTTTTTTTTGTTAAAGGGCCTATCATAGTTTTTTAAAGATGTTTATATATACAAAAGTCGAAAATGTTAGAGATTCAATACTACTGTTTTTAATATATATTCAGGTTTTTACCATTCGATTAAACTTTTTAAGGAGCTAGTAAGAGTAGCCATAGAATACGGAATAGGTTTTTACCATTCGATTAAACTTTTTAAAGAGCTAGTAAGAATAGCCATAGAATACGGAATACCATATTCATAACTCATAACTCATAAGGTTTTTTAATGAGTTTAAAACACAACATCACTTTAACTTACTACATATCACATACGAATTGTTAGATAATTTTATATTTAAAACGAATCAATTTCTCCCCTAGACCACTCTTGCAAAAAAAGGAGGAAACCACGATT